TTTATTTTTTAGCACCATTGATTTCAACCAGACTGGGAAGTAAAGCTTGAAGCTCTCGGCTCCACTTCATCCTTGGCGGGAGGACTGGATTAATCATCTGTAAAAATGCCCCACAGTGGGGTCTGGAGAGAAGGCAGGGCAGTGCACCAGGGGAGAGGAACCCCTGCCCTGCCGGCACAGTCATTCCTCCCCCTGGCGACTGTCTCCGGCCTCATATCCTCTGTGATAAGCAGTTGACACTCACGTCAAACTAAGTCCTGTGGGGCGGGTGTCGTGGGGACCCTCATTCTTTAGCCAAGGCAGACAGAAGGGTCGTGTGAACTGCTGTGATGAGGACACTGGAAGCAGCCCCGCCCCGCCCCTTACACAGGTGTAAGGTGTGAGCTTCTGCCTCTTGTCCACCTCGGTGGTTCTGCTTGCAGCATGGCGGTTATTTGAACCTGTGGGGTTGCAGTTAGAATCTGAGTTTGCTGCGCTTGCTGTAGATGGGAGTGGGCTCCGGGCTGTCCCTCCAGTGAGGCCAGCCTGGCCGCCTGCATCCCGTCCTGGGGCAGGAGTTGCAGCTTCATACTGCACGTTGCTGTCTTCCTCTTGTGAAGCCGCTGTGAGAGGTTCTTCCTGCTGTGTTGTTATAAGTGGCTGGAGCTAAGGACCGAGCCACCATTTATCGTGATGTTTTCTCATTTTTCCACATTTTTGGGGGTGATTCACAAAACAAGCCCTGAGTTGGCCCACAGGCAAGACTGGGTTATAGGAGGTTCCAGTTTCCTTTGCTGTGGGCAAGGCTAGTGGGAGCCTGCCTGGGGTCTCAGCCCTCTCTAAACCCTACCCACTCCCCCATGCAGTTACTGCGTGAACCTTTGCAGGCTCCTTGGTCTTAGGACACTGGGGACAGGCACACTTTCCTCCTCTAGTGGCTCCTCCTCCCAGGGCCAGAGCATCTTCAGCTCTCCGCTGGCCACCTGGCCTGTCAGCACTCAGTGCCCGTGTGAACAACGCCTTGTTCACGCGTTTTGCAGGAAAAAGTCCGAGTCAAGTTCGTCTCCCTTCTCTTGCTGAGTTATCTTTGTTGAGATTGGCAGAAGAGGAGGGAGGGGCTGGCATGGTGGGCTGGGAAATCGAAGCTGTAGGGAGACGAATGCAGTGCCTTGCTCCTTGCTCCTTGCTCCTGAGCGAAAGGAACCAGTCCCGGCTTCTCAGCCAGACCTGAGAGCACTAGAGGGTGTGTGACGCCCGCCCGCGCTGCATTTTCCTTCCCTTGCCCAGCGCTCCTGCGGAGCCTTCCGGGCTGCACCGCACTCCCCAGCCGGCAGCTCTGACCTTGCAGGACGAGCTCAGTCCAGCAGATGGCGCATGCACGGGGCCTGTGGCTGTGGAGCCACCATCCCGGGAAGCCGCTGGCCTTTGGGAGACTCCGGGTGTCAGGTGGCCACGCTGCACGAGGCTCCTCCCCTCGCTAGGAGCCATGGTCTCAGAATCCTTCAGTGTTGTTGCTCAGCTGCCTACTCGCGTCAGTGTGTGTAGCCGTCGGAGCTGAGAGAGGGAGAAGAACTTTCCTAATCCGTGTGTACAGAATGTCAGTGTCTTCGGAAAGGAGTTGAGCTGTGTGGGTACAGAGCCCTGCAAATACAAAACTGCCGTCTTAGACTCAGCGCCACGCGTCCAGACCTGTGCGGCCGCCTGTGGCCCCGTGAGTGGGAGCTGTCATGAGCCTGCCTTACACATAAGGAGGCTGAGCTTCCTGTAGAGTAAGGAGCATGGAAATCGGCCGGCCTGAGCCAGATCCTGGGCTGATGAGGGGTGCGAAGCATGTGATGTGGGACAGGGGAGTGGCTCCTGTGCCCTGGCACACTTGTTTCCTGAGGCCTTGAACAGCATCTCTAGTTCTCTAGTCACGTGGAGGTTTACAACTTTTCAAACAACCCTGTACCCCCATTGCTTCACTGAGTGTCTGTGGTGCGTGGGCCCTTTCCCCGCCTCCTGTCTTCTTGGGTGCGTGGGGCTTGTGCTCTGGGCCCCTGTGGAACTCACAGTCAGCCCACCCCTCACCCGGAGAACGGTCAGAACGCCTTCCCAGCAAGCCAGATGCACAGGCACAGACTGGCCTGCAGTATCTGGGGACCCACAGGCTCCTTGCCATCTGTGGGTCCCCAAGAACCAGCGGAGTAGCATCAGTGCATCTTTTAACATCTTGCATGATCTTTGTGAATGTCTAAACACAGCTGTGTCATTTATAAATAATACCTTTGGGGATGTAAGCCTAGTTACAGTAGAATTCTAAATTAGCCTTTAGTGGCTAAAACATCACTGTAAGAATCCAATTCTAACCCTAGCACCTAAACGTTTCCTATTTTTTTAATTTTTTTAAAATTTTTATTTTATTTTATTTTATTTATTTTTTGGCGACAGGGTCTCCCTGTGTAGCCCAGGCTGGCCTCTCGAATTCACATTGATCCTCCTGCCCCAGCTGAGTGCTGGGATCACAGGTGTGTACCACCGTGCCCGATGACATTTTCTGCTTTTACCAGTAAATGTCGTGCAGTTGTGAGCTGCATAAGTGTTTCAGTCTGCAGTGACCTGCACGAGTGATGGTGGCCCCTAGGGCCAGGCTGCCTGTGTGATGTGGCCATGGAGTTCTGTGGATTCATGCTGTAATGTTCACCAGGGATGGGACCACGTGGTGCTGTGTTACAAGTGGAGCATGGCATGGCTGAAATTCTTTCCTTTGAGTATTTCTTCCTTAATATTTGATGGAGGGAATTGGTTTCCCTTCGAGTTTTTTGTTTGTTTGTTTTTTTCTTTTGGTTTTTTTGAGACAGGGTCTCACTATGTAGTTGAGACTGACCTGGAACTCACTATGTAGCCCAGGCTGGTCTCAAACTCAGCAATCCTCCTGCCTCAGCCTCCTGAGTGCTGGGATTACAGGCATCAGCCACCATGCCTGGCGCCCCTTCGAGTTTTAATGACTTGAGAATTTATACTCCAAATAGAATCAACTCTACTTTTTTTCTGGTACTGGGGGGTTGAACTTTGGGCCTGTGCACTGAGCTACTTTCCTGCCCTTTTTAAGTCTCTTTTTTTTTTTTTTTTTTTTTTTTTTTCAATTTGGAGATGGCGTCTTGCCAATTTGCTGAGGGTAGGCTTGAACTTTAGATGCTCCTGCCTCAGCCTCCCGGAGTGCTGAGATTACAGCTCTGTGCCACATTGGGCTCAGGGTCTGGGTCTTGTTGGCAGTGTCCCCAGGCCTGGTTGGGAGTAGATACAGCAGCAGCAGCACCTCCTAACACCAGGCCACCCCAACAGTTTCCGGAGCTGGTGGCCCTCTCCAAGATGGACACCTTGCAGCAGCCAGCGCAACCTGCGGATGTTCTGGACACCCTCACCTTGAGCTGCTCACTGCACGGCTCTGGCCTGGTTCTGATGGGCAGTGGGTTCCAGCCACATCCTCTCAACAGCTCCCCATTCTCTAATCCCTTGCTGATAATCACTAAACTTCCTTCATTCGTATTGTTGTGTGACTTCTGACTTGTAGTTGGCTCAGCTCTCCTCCCCACCGACCAGACCAGACAGGGCGGTGGTGGTTGTTCTTTGCTTGTTTTTTGATATTGAGAGGATTGGTATTGTTTTAATTCCAGTTTGTGGCTCTTACTAAGTTGCCCAGGCTGGCCTCGAACTTGCCATCCTCCTGTCTCAGACTCCCAGTAGCTGGGATAGCAGACATGCACTGCCATGCTTGGCAAGGTTCTTCGGGACCAGCCTTAGTGCTGCCCCACTTGTTTACACTTTGTGAGCCCCTACATTGGCAGGCACTGTAGGCCTCCCTCTGTGAAGTAAAATGGCTTCAATCCTAGCAGTGCTCCAAGACTGGAGGAAGAGGCGCAGGCAGGTAGTGAAGTGTGCTGAGATAGAGGGTCCAGGAGTGCTGCGCGCGCGCGCGTGCGTGCGTGCGTGCGTGCGTGTGTGTGCGTGTGTGTGTGTGTGTGTGTGTGTGTGTGAGTGATGTACATGGGAGGTTTTAGTGTTGCTGCTCTAGGAGGGTAAGGACAGGCCAAAAGTAAAAATTGATGGAGTTGATAGACTCACAACTTTTAAGTCTACATGATGTTTGTAATGGAAAACATGACATAGTGTGGTTTTGTTTTCTCTGTTAATGTTCTCTTTCTACACGGCACCTGAAGTAGATAAGGTTTTATTTGATCTTCTCCCTCAGAATTCTTCAGTGGTGGAGATAATGATCTTTCCTCTCCACAGTTCCTTTCACAGGCAGCTGTGCAATAAATGTTAGTTGACGGTACAGGTTGATCCCATCGCACTGCTGATGAAGTGCCAAGAAGGCCAGCATCAGCCTGCAACAGTGACAGTTCATAAACAGCTGCAAGTGATTGCTTTGTACTTGAGATGTAAACATGGAGGTTATAGATCAGCGTGGTGCCCCTGGTTTGCTCCTGTCCTGCCATTTCCTAATTCAGGTGTGCAGCCCCCTGGTCTTCAGACCTGCTGGAGTATTTACCCAAGACTGTGCTGCTGAAATGTGGCTGAGCTGGGCTCTGGACACCACACGGGCCTCACCGAGAGTGGCACCTTAGACAATTGAGACCCTTCCTGTTGGTGTGCACAATCCCTTAGCAGCCTTCTCTCCTTACTCCTGCACACATAGCCCTGTGTCGTGCAGGACCATGGAGGAAGAGGCAGGAGCACAAATGTATTCCCGTGGTGCAACACTGAACATGGTACCTATACGGGCAGTGTTCCCTGGAGTAAAAGTGCAATTAATGTGTGTCCACTTTTATTTATTTTTTGTTTGTTTGGGTTTTTTTGAGATAGGGTCTCACTTATGTAGTTAAGATTGACCTGGAACTCACTATGTAGTCCAGGCTGGTCTTGAACTCACAGCGATCCTCTTGCCTCAGCCTCCCAAGTGCTGGGATTACAGATGTGCGCCATCACACCCGTCCCGTGTGTCCGCTTTTAAAGACCGTGTCTTCTTCTTTTCTTCTCAGGTGCTGTTGCCTCCATATGATGATGCCACTGTGACTGGCACTGCCAAGGAGCCGCCACCACCCTACGTGTCAGCCTGAGCCCAAGGGGTCATCCTGGAGCAGCGGCTGCTTCATAGATATCAAGCAATAGTTCCGAATGTCTCTGAGATGAGCTCTTGGAGCTCAGCTGTTGTCTAATTGCCACAGTTTACAGTTTAGATTTCACTGGAGGCCCTCTGTAGTTCATGCATACGCTTTAGCTAGAGTGCTGTGTAGCTGAGCTGTAGGATTTGTAGGGGTGGGAGTGGGGTTAATGGGCTCCCTTAGTCTTTCCCAAAAAACATAGATGGACCTTGAATTCCCGAAGTCTGATTTTGTACCTGCTCATCCCTGAAGTTGGGCAATTAATCACACTTTTTCTGTGTTTTCTTTGTCACTTTTGAAAGTATAAAATAAAAATCAAAATGGGTAATACTTTTCTAGAAACATTCTGGTGTATAGAACGAACCCTGAGGAACATCAGTTGTGCAATCATTGCTGTAAGTGGGTAAATGGGAGTCTGTGTATATGTCACAAGAATTTCCTTTCTATTTGTTCTGATTTAAATTCAGTGGCAGTGTTAATTTGCCTGTCGGATTTTCTCAGTGGAGACTGGAAGGCAGTCCCAGGCCATGAGAGAACAGAAGTCCTTCCTGGGGGTGGGGGTGCCTCTCTGTGTATGATTTATTTGGCACTGTAGGGGACCTGGTACTTCTGGTGTCCCCTGCTCTAATCCTAGAGGACACCCGTTATGTTTAAACTGTGGAAGAGGGGTTTATTTGCTTTGGAATCCTAAGGTGTCTACTAATTCCTTAACATGTCATGTTCATGACAGGGCTATGAGGTGTGCGGCTGCCAGGTGGCTTGAACCACTGGTGGTACATGCATGACTGTCCCATCAGATGGCTTATTAGTTTTATGGTGAAAAGACCAATAAAAGTGATTAGATTCATTTGTACTACCAGTGGGATGAGCTGCAGAAAACCTGAGGAGCATTGTTGCCCTTGGGGAATGCACTTATCTGGCTACCTAAGTTGCAGGGGACTCTTACATGTTCTTGTGTTTAGAAGCCAGAGCGCTCAGGCCCTCAGCAGTTCTTGGGAGCGGCAAAGGTCAGTCATATGGATTGCACATCTCTGCGGTAGGCATACAGGAAATCACAGGTCCTTGCATATTGCTCCTTGTGACTTTCCAGCTCTTCGCCTAACACTTTGGTTGGTGGGGGTCCTGGAGATCGAACTCAGGACCTTACTTACGCTTGCCAGGCAGTGCCTGGCACTTTCTGCAAATGAAAAATATAGTCACTAGGAGAGAAGCACAGACCTTTGAAGTATATGTGGGGCTCCTGGGGGAACCATGGCCGCTGAAGTTGTCCATGCTGCCCTCAGCAGCACTGGGCCCCTGCTCACCACTGCATCCCCAGGGGTCCCACGGTATGTGGTTGAGGCTGGCCCCATATCTACCTCTGTGGAGTAAGATGGTGTGTTCTGTTGTTTTTTAAGACTAGGTGTCACTGTAGTTCAGGCTGGCCTAATACTATGTATCCAAGGTTGGTCTCCCAGGCACCCTTCTGCCTCAGCCTCCTAAGTATTGAGATGATAGGTGTATGCTGCCATAGCAGGCAGCATTATTTCTTGTCTCCACTCTGTCGAGGTTGTGCTGTTTGGATTAGAATGGTCTTGAGAAACCCCTACAACACCCCAGCAAATCTGTCTCTGTTAATTCAGATACATAACCTCTTTTAAATGTATTTTAAGCTCTGTTTTGATGTCCGGCCTCTTGCTCCTATTTTATTGTCCACAGAAACAAGAAACAGTCATCTCGGTCTTCCTCATGCCTGTGTACCTCCTGGTCACTCCACTGCTGGGAGCTCTTCAGCTTTTTCACCTTGTTTAAGGTCACAATGTGGAGCCCCCTGCAGCAGCAAGTCTAGGCCTCTTGCAGAGATGGAGGGCAGGGCTGAGGTGGTCTGTGGCACAGGGTGCCAAGTGGAAGGGAGGAGGCTGAGGCCCTGTGCTCCCTTTACCTCCGCAGTGCTCTTCCCCCCAGGCCAGTGTTCTGGTCCCTGGCCTTTCTCAGCAGGTTGTCCTCAAGAATGCGAGAAACTTCCTCCTCCGCTGGCTTCCCCCACTTCCTACAGGGGATTGAACTCCTTGTGCTTGCAAGGCAGGCAGCGCCCAGCTTTTTTAAAAAAACATTCAGTTCTAGCCATAAACATTCGTTTAGTTTTGCTTGCTGAACCAAACCACCTCTCTGTCCTTTCCACCCCGTGCTCGCTACCCTCAGTTTTCAGATCTGCGGCCCTTCTCACTGAACCATCTTTGAGACTGTCCATGACATCTATTTTCTCCATGGAGGGATGGATTGTATTTGAAACATTCATCATTTGGGAAAAAAGGCCTGCTGTGCAAACTGAGCTTTTGTGATAGAGGAAAACCAGTGAGACTATAAAAACATTTCATTTCCTTTTTTCCCCTCATTTGAGATGAATTCATTTTTTGCAGCCATCCTGGAGGCTGACTTAAATCACTATGCCATGTCATGTAAGTGGCCTGAGGTCCCAGAGGGGAGAGGCAGGAGTTTGTCAAGATGCTGAGAATGGGCACCCTGGGCAGAAAGAAAGCACAGGCAAAGCCACTGAAGTTCAAGCACCCTTCCCCCAGACCTGACAAGCACCAAAAGAGTGCCCGTGGCTGCATGGGATGGGCTTTCGGCAGCCCAGATGTAGATGCTAAAAGGGAAGGGAGAGGAGGAGGCATTGTATCGAAGGCTCCACATCCGATTTGTGTTTCTGCTCACACAACTTCTTTGCTGAGCGGCGCTCTGGTGTGGAAGGCAGCCAGGTCTGCGCCCTGCCGGAGTGGACTCGAACACCAAGACCGGCAGAAGAGATGCAGACTTGGGCCCAACCCAGAAAACGTTACATGGCTGTAAAACAAAGCCCCGGCTGACTCGAGGAGGGTCCTAGCCAAACAGCTGCTGCTCGGGGATGAAGACTGGGCTTAAAGAGCAGCATGTTGTGCTCATTTTACTTCATCTAACTCATGCTTTACATTTGTAGTAAGATGGGAGCCTCTCTAGCCCAGGACAGTGTTAGCTTTCTGTCGCTGTAACATACCCGAGGGAGCTGACAGATTTATCTCTGCTCATGGTTTGTGAGGCTCCTCTCCCCAGCCGCCTGATAGGGCAGCAGCAGGGCTGCACCGCCCCTGTAAGGACAACCTCCAGTGACCTGACTGAGGACAGACACCCACCACACTGTCTGAAGGTTCTCGCCTTCCTGCAGCGCCCCCCTGTGGGCCAAGTCTTTAACATGGGCATTTAGCAGGTGTTAAAGATTCAAGTTAAAATGGCTGCACATGCTTGCTAGATGTCCAGGGTATGTTGCTGCAGTGGAGCCAAGGTATTTCAGAAGGACCCGCAGAACCAGGGAAGTTTGGCCACAATTCACCGCTTTGGGGTGGAGCCGTGGTTCTCTCACGTAAGGCTGAGACTGAGTGTGCTCTCTGCTCTCGCAGGAGCCACACACTTGGCTCAGCCTGCTCTGCCAGCTGATACCTTGGAAGTGGCATCGCGTGCACGGTCCATTCCTGGGATCTGGGCGCGGGGCATCCGGTGCAGGCCTTGTAAAGGGCAGGAAGGCATCCGCAGAACCGAGGTTCACCTTGGCCTGGGAGAGCCGCCAGCTGCAGTGAGCAGCAGTGTAGTGGGCCCTGCTGTCCGGGGCGATGTTACTCTTCACCCACCGATTTGCAGTGCTGACAGTGTATGTTTAGTTTTGTTTTGTCCCCTAATAAGTGATGAGGAAGCTGCGTCTGGCTGCACACACCTGCAATCCCAGCACTCTGGAGGCTGAGGCAGGAGGATGGCTGCATAGTGAGCCCAGGGCCAGTCTGAACTACATAGGGTAGCGCTGACTCAACAAAGCAACACATGGGAGCTGGGGATTTAGCTCATTTGTTCTGTCGCCTGCCTCGCAAGCATAAGGACCTGAGTTTGAGCCCTGGTACCAAAGGAAAAAATAGTATTCAACAAAGCAACACAAGGATAATGGCAGCTGTACTGTTTTCAGCAATCCTTCCCAGGCTTCTGTCAACCCACTGAACTCCCATTTGTTAGGGCCCGAGTAGAGCGTTGCCTGCCCTGTTGACACGAGTCTCTGGTGCTCCTGTCTTCAGACTTCCTAACTTGAGTGCAAATGGCCTCAGCTTTGTCCCTTTATTGCCTCCTATCTAACCAATACCTAGGCCTTTGGCTCTTTTTTTATGTCACCCGGTGACATTTGCCATTTACTGAGCCCTTGCAGTAGGCCAGGCTGCTGAGCACTTGGTATATATTAGCTCTACAGTTCCCAGGGGCTTCTAGGGAAAAAAATCTGCGCCAGCACCAGGCCTTACCCTGCAAACTGAACATATCTGAGTGAGCAAGTTGGAGACATCTATAAGAATTTCAGAATTCTGTGCATCTAGACTGGAAAACGCTCTGCAAATAGCACCTTTTCAGTCCTATAAAGAATTTATTCAGGCAAAAAAAAGGGTCACCTGAGATGGGTGTTTTAGAGTGGTTAATTGTCTAAGCAAGCAGCATCCTTTTGAGGAAATGAGGCAGCCTTTATACGGCACTCATTTATCTCTTTTGGGAAGAAAGTGCGTATTAAGATTTCAAATGTGGGCCAGGGATTTAGCTCAGTGGTTCCACTGCCTGCTTCTCAAGCACAAGGACCTGTGTTCGATCCCTGGGTACCAAAAACAAAAAAAAGATTTCAAGCGTCATAACTCGGCAGTATGAACAGTGATATTTGCTCATGTGAGGAGGCATGGTAGGGAGCTTGAGACCCAACTCCTCGTCTACCCCAAAAAGCCTGTATTTCTCCAGATAAAGCAGAGCAGTGGTTTCCCAGGGGGACATAGGCTTTATCCTGCCCCAGTAACGCGCTCGCTGTATTACCTGTGCCCGAGTTAACTGCCTGAAACAGCTCCATAGAAAACCTAGGCACCAGGGAACTCTGCAAACTTGTGGGTTTTAATAACAAAAAATAAAATCCTTTGGATTGCACCTTGAAAATGACTTCCTGCTAGAACCTCGCCATGAGCCACTCATCTGGGAATCATTTATGCTGTCCCACAGCGTCCCAAAGCAAGACACAGTCTGTGGCTACTGTCCCTTGTCAGTAACCCCTGTATAGGTGAGACATTCACGATGGTATATGTATGGCATTTACTGCTCAGTCAGTGCCTAGCTCATATTTAGCAAATACAAGAAACAACATTTACAAAAAAAAAAAAAAAGCACATGGGAAATGAAACCAACTGTAGTCCCAC